CAAGGCCCCTCCTCAGCTCCCTTTGCTGTTGTACCTGGGGCTGTCTGGAAAACGCTGCAGCCAGCGCTGGCTCATCAGTGTGATGCCTTGATTAGCACCTAATTGCACCCAGAGCAGCCAGGAGCTCCACAAGCCCTCAGGAGCCCCATGTCCCTGGCCCCATCCCATTGTGGGTACAGCATTTCCCACGGTGTAACCCGCTCCACTGGGGCTGGCTGACCACGCACAGGGGAGGGACAATACCTCTGATCTTCTCCAGCTGGGCCTTTATGTCCCTCTGACACTTCTCCTTGGCTTCCACCAGGAGATAGATCTGCTCTTCTTTCGTGAGGACATCATCAGGGTCGACCTGCCCAAACCAAACCAAAGTGACCCCTGGGCTCAGGCCACGCTCTCCCAACCCTCTCCAGCAGAGTCAGGTTGGAGTGGCTTTGGGAAGATTCAACAACACAAGGGAAAAAAAGCTCTTCCTGCCTTCCTGCTCTCATTTTTCCCTCTTCCAAGGCTGAGGGTGACCCCAAGTCCCCTCCCACCCTGTTTATGGTCCATGTCCATGTTTCATCAGCATGTCAGGCTCCTGCCCTCCCTGTCATCCCCCCACTGGTGGTGCTGGGTGTCCCTCTTTCCCACGCTGAGCTCTCCAGGTCAGCTCTGGCAGCCTCTGGATAAAGTGCTCAGCAAGCAGGTGGGTGCCCAGTGCCTGGAGCTGGGTGGGGCAGGTGGTGCAGCCTGGGACACCTTCAGCCTCCTGGTCACACCACATGTGCAAATGTCTTTTGGGATGTTTTGAGCTGAGCTACTGCAAGGAATTTGGAGCTGGGATGAGGAAACAGTTTTGGAAGTGAAAAGGAGCCAGAATGCCGGGGGGTTTGCTCTTCCCAGACTGTCCACAGTCCGTGGGAACACAGCCAACTCCAGACTCAGAGAGGACTCCCATCCACGTTCCTCCCAAACCCGGTGTCTGGGTGGGTGGGTGTGTGGATGGGAGACTCATTAGGGATGTAGGGCACGAGTTGGGGTCCTGGGGGTGCCCCAGCAGGGTGAGGGCCTGGCTTTGGGAGTCACCCTGGGTGTGCCCAGCTCTGCCCTGGCCTCATCCCCCCAACCTCACCCACTCTGACCGTAAACCGCCCGCTCCGAGGCGCTGACCCCTGCCCTGGATGCAGCCAAGAAATGGAAAAGCCATCACGCCACAGTGCCTCCATGGCTGCTGGAAAAGCTTTTAGCAGGAGTGGAGATGCTCTGCCCGCCCCGCCCGGCTCCTGCCCGGCAGTTCTGCAGAGCGGGACGTGCGGCCGGGAGCGCACACGGCCCCGACGGGGGAGGGCGGCACAACCAGCGACCTTTAAAGCCGGGAGAGGGACCGGAGCAGCCCACGGGGCCACGCGGACTTACCAGAGCCCACGCAGAGCTCAGGAGGCAGCAGCAGAGGAGAGCCACCGTGACACCTCCCACGGGGACCGATGCCTCCATGGTGCCACTGTGTCACTCGACGGGGACCTCAGGGACCTGAATCGCTGCCAGCCCGAGGCCGTGGGTGACGGAGAGGGCTGGTGTGTTCAGCAGGACAGAGCATCTTCTGGGAGCACCTTCCTGGCCCCGCCGAGGTGAGGTGGCAGCGGGGGCACAGCCCGTCCCGGGGAGCTCAGGGCCGGGGGAGCCCCGGGGCGAGCCCCCTGTCCCGGTGGGCACTGCCCCGGCAGCACTGTCGGGATCTGCTCGCAGGCTCTCCAGGCAGGGGGGCTTCTCCCCCCACAATGCTTGATCCTATTCCCTCTCCGTGTCTCGCCAGCTTTAAGCAGCTCCTGGAGCGTGTGCAAACAATTCCCGTTCGGATGGGGACGGCGGAGGTTTATTGGCTTAGCCCTAGGTGCTAAAATCCTCTTCGTTCAAGGCAGATTCCTCTTCTCTTTTCAGAAACTTCTCTCACTGCCTGGTGGCTCATTTTTCAGCTGTCACAGCATCCTCCCGTGTCCCCCAGGCTCCTCAGTCCCCTCCAGCCCAAGAGTGGTCCCGAGGAGCCCGGGGAAGGTGGGGAATATCCCAGCGAGGTGGCTGGAGGCAGGGAGGCAGAGGGTGCAAGCACGTGAGCAGCACCTTGAACTGATGCTCCTGAGAAGCGATGTCTTCCAGGCAGACGCCAGTTTAACCCTTTTCCTTCTCTGGGGCTTGGGGTGTGTTTTGGGGAGATGTGCTGGGATCAGTCCTGCTCCCCCAGCCCCTGCTGTGACCTCACTGCTCATCTGCACTGGGGCTCCTGCAGAGAGGGGCTGGAGGCTCCATCAGCTGGGCAGGGACACGGAGCTGCCACCTGGATGGGGTCCCACACAGCCGGGGGGTCCTTGGGCCTCGTGTCAGAGCTGGTCCCACTGCAGCTGACACTGTCCCTGTCACAGCCATCCCTTGTCACCTGCATCCCCCCAGGGAGGCCCAGGGCTGTCCCCTGTCTGTTGGAATCATGCTGATTCCCAGCTTGCTCCCACCACCCCACCAGTTCCAACACCCTGTGTCCCCCCAGCAGCCCAAATGTCCCCCCGGGGAATGGGGCACCCAGAGGGGAGTCCTTGTTCCCTGGGCAGGTCATCCTTGGTGGGATGAGGCTGAAATTCAACAGCCCGGTGTCAAATCCCAGGAGGAGCAGCTCCCAGCCTGGGCCTCTCCCCTGGCCCGTGTGATCCATGTCCAGGCACAGCTCTGGCTGCCCCCGTCAGCACCACAACCCTGCACGGAGCAGCAGAGCCCCTGAGCCTCCCTCGGGTTTTCCTGGTCCCAACCACGAGCCCCTGTGGCTGTGTGAAGGAGGGTCAGGGTCCTGCTGGGCTCCCGTGGCAAGGGAAGGAGCATCAGCGGCTGAGGGGGCACGGAAAATCCGAATGACAGGGCACAGGAGGGGCTGCTTCTCCCACCGATCGACTCAGACAGGAAAACAAGCCCTGCCGTGGCCATCAGCTGACAACCAAGGAGGGATTAGGGGCATCTTCGGCAGCTGCCCGGCCCCCCAGCCCAATTTAGCCACCGGCGTGGGTGTGACACAGCCCAGGGCGCTGCTCTGCCGAGCGGCACCGCCGGGGACCCTCAGGATGCTGCTCGGAGGGCAAGGGAGGGATAAACAGCTGAACTGCGGGATTAACGTTTTGTGAAGGCTCTGCTGGGTCTCATTTCTGACCCAGAAGCTGCCGAGGAGTGAGGATGGAGTTAAGGTGAGGTTATTTTGGAGTCAGATGGATGCTGAGGGGGAGGCAGCTCAGGGACAATTTGATTCCCTTGATTTCCCAGGCGAAACCCGACCCAGGCTCCGAGTTCACACTTAGCAAAACAGGTTGGGTTGTTTTTTTTTTTGCTAAATGACTTGTTATATTCTAGAGAGCTCTGGAAAGCAATGATTGCAAATGACACCCATCCAGCCCCATCATCCAGCCCCCTCAGCTCCACGACAGCACTCAGGAAATGACGGCACGCAGCAAATTCCCAGCAGTTTGTGGCTGCTCCCTCCTCCTGAGTGACCCCCCCAACCCGGCTGGTGATGGCTCAGCCTCTGGCTTCAGCAAGGAAGAGACTGGGGGGTTCTGAGCACAGGGCTAAGCTGGTGACACCCCCATTCCCATCACTCCTGGCCCTGCAGCAGCTCCTGAACAGCCGGATTAGATCTGCCTGGTCATGGCAAGACTGAGCCACTAAAACTACAAATATGATGGCATTTTCTATATCTGTGTATAAACAACACTTAAATACACACATATAGAATGTGTTTATATATATTTATGTAAAAATATCATGGCTCAGGCTCCAGCCAGCACTGAGACCCCGTAGCTCTGGCACCAGGACTAACAACATCCCACAGGACTCTGTTCCACCCAGAGGCTTCCAACCATCCCTGAGCCCAACTTAAGCTCATGCTGGAGAGATGAGGCTGTGCAGCACCTCCACAGCACAGAAGACACTCTCATCTGTTGTAAATAATTTTTTTGTCCATTTGCTTCTGTTACCAGAACACCAGCTCTTGGATCCCAGTGCAAATTTGGGATGGGTTTTCACAGAATATCCTGAGTTGGAAGGGACCCACAAATGACCTCTAGTCGAAATCCTGACCCTACACAGGACATCTGAACAATCCCACCATGTGCCTGAGAGCATTTTCCTCCTCCTGTGCCCTGGTACAACCTGGCTACGTTTAAGTTGATGGTTTAGGATGTCTCAGTGTAACCCTGGAGCCCTGTTTCTTGGGATGCTGAACCTTGATGAGTTCTTCTGCCTATTCCATGGGTCTTCAAACAGTTGGGAGAGGAGGGTGAGAGCAGGAATATCTCCCATTGGAGCCTGCCCAGTGACTGGAGGGGAGCCAAAAGGAGATCCCGCCTGCCCTGCAGGTTTTGGGGATGCTCAGGATGGGGGGTGCAGGGCTGGGAAAGACCCCAAGCTGGTGAATTCAGTGCTGGCTTTGGCCATCATTTGCATTATCCCATTAGGCACCTGAGGGAGGTGAGCACCTCCAGCATGGCCTTTTCCAGGGCACAATCCAGCCCTGGGAAGAAAATGGGGCAAACCAGATCCTGAGCACGAGGCCAGGGGGATCATTCAGAGAGGTTTTGAGCTCCTTTGAAGGAGCAGTTCATAAACCCTGGGCTTAGAAGGGCTCTGCAGCCCCGGCCCTCGCAGTCCTGCCTGGAGACAGGAGCTCTCCCCACGGGTATCACAGCAGGTTTATCAGCCATCATTTGCTGTTTCCTTGCCAGGCCCCCGTGGCCGTTCGAGTTTAGGTTTTCAGTGGTCATTAGCAAGCAGCCCCCATGCAGCCCACCCGGTGCAGGTGCTGGAGGGGGATGTGTCCCCCCTGTTGCAGCTGGGGGGCGGCCGGTGGCTCCTCGGAGCCAGGAGGCAATGACAATGGGCAATTGTCAAATTGGGGCCCCTCTCGTTTGAGTTTTCTTCCTTTTATAGTAAGTAGCAGTTGCTCCAGCAGCTGGCCTGCCCCTCCGGGGTGAGGACTGGGCTCCGTATATAAGGGAAGGAGCAGCCTTTGCCTTTCATCCCTCCGTTCCCTTCCCTCGCTTGGCGGCAGGAGTCCCCCTGCACCTCCGCAAATCCCGGCGATGCCGCTCAAGAAACCCGACCCCAAGAAGGAATCGGCCAAAGCAGGCTCGGAGCGGGAGCCTGCCTTCGATCCCAAGAGCGTGAAGGTGAGTGAGGAACGGAGACGTCACCGTCTTCCTCCATGCCCGTCATCTGCCAGGCACGGGCGATGCAAAGCGCCGCACAAAAGGCGTCAGCCAGGCTGGGAGCCAGGCTTGGGAGGGGAAAACTGCCGGACTGTGCGGATGCAGCAGGCTGGGAGCGATGCTCTCCTCACCGGGGGGATGTTTTAGTCTTCCCCACCCAGCCCCGCACGGCGCTCACCGGAGGGACCCGCTGTGGATTTGCTGCTCCCAGAGCTCCGGCCGTGCAGCCAAACCCCCACAGCTCCTGCTGAGACTCCAGCAGCAATAAAAACCTTCTCTGCCACCCACCGTCTCCATCCTAAAGTATTTTGTTGCCTGTGTTGCCTCCTCCACGTAAGAGCCTCTTTTATCCCAGTCTCCACAACGGGAGCTTGCTTTCCCCGGGATTCCCCGGGACAGTCACATTTTGGAGCCGGAGCTGTGGCAGGAGGGTCATTAAGAGCAGGCTCAGCACGCTGAGGCTGTTTAATCACTTGAACTAGGGTTCAGGTCTTAAAAATAACATCATTTCCACTCAAAATTGCCCTGACTGTGGTCTGAGCATCCCTCCTGCCTGCCCCCCGCCCTGCTGCTGGCTGTGCTTTCCGCAGGGATCTCAGCTCAGCAGCAAGGGCTCCTGGGCACGGCATGGCTGGGCACGGCACAGATACGGCTCCTGCCCCGAGCCCGGGGAGGGGGAGATCCAAAGAGGTGGCAGAGCCCCCTTCTTCCCTCGGCAGTGACACCCCCCTCATGCCCAGCTCTGTTCCCTTCTCTTCACAGATTGAATTCACAGCCGAGCAGATCGAAGGTAAGTGCCGAGCTCAGTTTCTCCCAGAGATGGCTTTCGAAATGGGGAATCCCTTTTCCAGGTAATTTTTCACCACAGACATGAGAGCCAGGGCCCCCCTCCTGGGGGAAAGCCCAGCAGGATCCAGAACCTGGCAGGGAAAGGGAAGGAGCAGGGAAAGGGTAATTTTCATTCACGGTGTGAGATGCAGCCTGGGTCAAAGTCAGGGGTTCTGGTGGGAGGAGCAGCCTCCGGGCGATGCGGGGACAGCCCCAGAGAGGGGAGATCCCAATGGAAAAGGGGATGAGCAGGGATGTCCCGCAGCAGAGCCTGCTGCCGGGGGTGGAGGGATCCAGCAGGTCACCCAGCCAGCTCTGCACGGGTGACAAAACCTGCTCGAGCAGCTGAGCCTCTCCTCCGAGGAGCCTGGCAGCCTCCAGCCCGCCTTGCTCAAGCTCACCCAGCGTTCAGAGGGCACCCACCCCACACGCGTCCACCCCTTCCCTGCCCGCCAGGCAGGACTGGCTTCGGCGGGGTGGGAGATGGGGCGGGCACAGCCGGGGACATCCGAGCGCTTCCTCCCCGCAGAGTTCAGAGAAGCCTTCGGGCTCTTTGACCGGACGCCCGCGGGGACGATGCAGATCAGCTACGGGCAGTGTGGGGACGTGCTCCGGGCGCTCGGCCACAACCCCACCAACGCAGAGGTCCTGAAGGTGCTGGGCAAGCCCAGACCAGAAGGTGACAGCAAACTGGGGACAGGGTGGGACAAGCAATCCCTGAGCTCCCTGGCTGCAAGTGGAGCATATGTTCCCTGTAGGAACAGCCCGGCAAGGTGAAGGAATTGGGAAGGAAATTATGCAGAAGGGCTTCATTCCTGTGCAATTCCTTCACTCCCCTTCCCCATACCATGGCTGACATGAGGGATAGGTGGTGCTCGCCCAGGGATGGTGGTTAATGATGCTTAGCAGACCTTATCCTGAACTGGTACAAACTGGTGTAATCTGACCAGTCCTAGTGTGGCCACATACTCCTGGTGAGAGAGGACCCACCTCTGCTTTAATTTTGGGCTGATATCAGGGGTGTTTGTGCAGTCCCCTGATGTTAATACCTTATTCCTCATATGGATCTTCCAATCTCAAGTAAATTAGAATAGTTCCATCTCCTCGTGGGGCTTCTCCCCTGTACTCTGATGGAAAAGAACCCGGGAGGGTTAAGCAGGAGGCCCTCAGAGGCTGAGTTCAGCCTCAGAACCTGCTGCTTATAACGCCAAGGTTGTGGGTTTGATCCCTGTGTGGGCCACTCACGTAAGAGTCGGACTCGATGATCCTCGTGGGTTCCTTCCAGCTCAGAACATCCCGTGATATAAATGTATCTCTGACCCCATCTCCTCCCCCCCCTCCCCTCCAGAAATGAACACAAAGATGCTGGACTTCGAGACCTTCCTGCCCATCCTGCAGCACTTCACCCGCAACAAGGAGCAGGGCACCTTTGAGGACTTCGTGGAAGGGCTGCGCGTCTTCGACAAGGAGGGCAACGGGATGGTGATGGGGGCCGAGCTGCGCCACGTGCTGGTCACGCTGGGTACGGGCTGGCCCGGGAGGGCAGCAGGGCAGGGCCACCCCCAGCTCTGCCTGGGCAAGTGGCTGGTCTGGTGTTGCAGGGACCCTTCTCAACCTGCTGCTCGCAGGCTCTCGTAGGAGCCAATGGCTCCTGACTGTGGGGCCTTTCCCATCTTATGCTGCAGCTTCGGGCGTGACCCAGGGGAGGTGGAGAGTCCAGAACACCCTCAGTTATCAGACAACATTTTGCAGCTTGGTCCTCTCTCCACTCTGTTCCTTTCCTCTGGTGGCTTTGGCTCTCTGGAAAAAGGACGGGAAGGTCCTGGCAGGCTGAGAATCCTTCCCCTCACATCTCCATCCTCCTCTTCCAGGGGAGAAGATGACAGAAAGCGAGGTGGAGCAGCTCATGGCAGGGCAGGAAGATGCCAATGGCTGCATCAACTACGAAGGTGAGAGTGAGAGATTCCCATCGGGGCCAACTCAGGCACAGTTGTCTTGTCTTAGGATAAAAATTTCGGTTGGACTCAACGATCTCAGAATTCTTTTCCAACCTTAATGATTCCATGGTTCTGTGACATTGCTGATCACTAGGAGGGAGGTGTGGACCACCCTCCAAAGCCCTTCCTAAAAGAGCACTGAGACAAGTCAGCTGGGGTGGGAGCAAGGCGGTTGTGCCAGTGATTTCCAGGAAAAGCAGCTGAAGACAGCATGTTTCCAAGGGTTTCGAGACTTTTATCCCTGGTTTTGGCACTGTTTTGTTGTAAGCTATCAAAAATAAACAAAGCCAGCATCTTTCACAGCAAAGGCTAATTGGGAACATTTGGAGACCTGGATCACTCGTGGCTCCAAGAGGGTGAAAATCTGGAATAGGGGGTGGTTAAATTTGGGAACCACTAAAACTGGAGAACATTGAGGAAAAGAGGGGACCCATTCCCCTTGGCCTCAGAAAACTGGGGATAACGGTGCCAGCTCGTCTCCAGGGGTTGGGATCACTCTAACCAGGTGGGAGGGGCATGCAAAAAGTGGGAACAGAAGAAGGAATATCAGTCCTGGCATTCTGGGGTGTCCCAGCTGGGGGTCCCCCCTGCTGCCCCTCCACCCCCTCTCCCAGCTCACACCATGCTCTGACCTCTCACACTCTCATTTCTCCTCAGCTTTTGTCAAGCACATCATGTCTGGCTGACAGGAAAAACTTCAGGTGAGTCCACGGGGTCTCCTGCTGCTTCCTCCAAAATTGGAAATCCTGCATGGAACAGCCAGGGGCAGAGGAACCAAAACCCAAACCTGCAGTGGATTAATGCCACAGGAATAATCCCAGCTCTGGAGGCACAAAAAGCTGTGCTGATGATAAGGAATCTCATTTGTTCCTCCTGCCAGTTAGAATTTATTGGGCCAGAATCACTCCCGTGCTGGTCAATCGTGGTCTGGGTAATTGTGTTGGAAGAGGTTGAGGGGGAAAAGAAAGAGGAAAGAAAGAGGTTGGGGTGGTTTATGGTGTTACATTTTCTAACCAACCAGGAGCTAAGGGGGTCATCAACAACAGCCAGTGGGAATAAATATTTTAAGACCTGCAGCAGTGAATGACTCGATGTTAAGAAAATACAAAGTACTTAGAGAGGAAATTTCTGAACTGAGAAATATCAACATTCCTATTGACATTAGAAAGAATATGGAAAATGTACCGTGGATGCTTGTGAAGCTTTTTTGTGTTCCTATAAGTTTGCCTGAGGAAAACAGAGAAACAGGTTTCTTTTAGAGTGAATTATCCCTCTGAAATCTATTCAATTTAAAAGAAAATCCAAATTGCTGGCTCCCCTGCCAATTTCTTATGGTTTCTTATCTATTTACTTTCCTTAAACATTTCTCCTCCCCTCAGCTGTGTGAAGCAGCAAGGGAAAAAAAAAAAGACATAAAAATGACCCTCATGTTACTAAATACACAAATTAAACATTTAAAAATCTCCTCCCCCACATACCTCTTTAAACATCAGAAGATTAAAACAGACACAGACAGAAGTCTGAACTGTGAGTGTTCAGCATCCTTTTTATTTTCTTTTTAATCCATTTCTCTCTGGTTCCTGCTCATCAGCTCAGAAACAGAGACGGTTGGGTGGCAAACCCTGCCAGGAGATTTAATTCTTCACCAAACTATTGGCACATAAAACTCTTTTTTAATGGCATGGAATGACAGCTGTTGTCATTTTGGGTTTGTCTGGGAGGGAGCACTGTCACATGGACTCATTGCACTGAGCCCTCTCCTGCTTGTCTCCCAGGATCTTGGGAATGTTTGAACCCACCTGAGCACCAGGAAGAGGAGATTCCTCCATCCGTGTCCTTTCCATGGGATGTTTCCACATGAGCCACCACTCCTCGGTCTCCATGTGTGTGCCTAAGCCTGGTATTAAATAAGACACCTGCAACTTGGTTTGAAACCTTAAGTTATTCTTTTTGGGTTTTCCCTGCGATGTTTGGCTCATTAAATGAATTCCTTCCTCCCTGACGTGGTTTGTCTGCTTTGGCTTTGGGCAGCTCATGGGTGTGGTGGGTGGAGGAGACCCCTCAGTCCCCAGCAGCTCTCAGGGGTAACAGGATATTCCCATGGAGAGGGGGAAGAGGCAGGGAACGTGAGGGAAGAGTTCAGACATCACCCCACCCTTGGCGTGGGCCTGGTCACCTCTTGCTGATGCAGACCTGGAGCAATGAGAGCATGAGGGACATGTTGCATCAAACAGATGCCCTGTTTTTGGGAGGGTCTTCACCTCCTCTCTGCCCTTAAACCAGTCCTTTTTCAAACCTGTAGCCCATGCTGCTCCATGAGCATTCCCTCCAGGTCCCAGGTGAACAGCACTGTGGAGCAAAGAGGAACCTGCTTGGCCCTGTCCCTGTCACAGGAGAGACCTGCAGGCACCTCTCCTTCATCAACACATTGCCTGTCCCAGCTGGAAAAGGCCCCTAAAAACCCCAAAACATCAGATAAAACATCGAACCCATTATTTCTTCTGTATCACAGACAGATCCAAAAGTCTAGTTTTGAAGGTTTCCTGGAAGTTGAGTCTTGATGAATCAGCAAGGGAGAAGGAAAATGGGGGAAAGAACAGGTATTTCTGGGTCAGGTGCCACCTCCACCCTCATGGCACGGGGTGACTGGTCCCTGGGGTGCAGGTGGTGACTTGCCTGGGATGGAGCCCAGCCAGGACGGGCTCCCTGGATGGTTCCTCTCTTCCAGGAGCCGTCTGGGGGCTGCGTGATACAAGCTGGGGACTCTCTCCCTCTTCCTACCTGCAAAACAATCACCAGAGCATCACCACAGGTGGTGAATAATTCATGGCAGCACAACACCTGGGAGCAGAAAACACTTTCCTTTGATTTGTCCCTTTTTCCAACACCCTCCCTCTGACTTTGCCTGGGAATGGAAGGCGTTTTGCTCCGACGGGGTTGACTTCAGCTGCCACTCGCTCGTTCCTGCGCAGTCACTGAGTAACAGCTGCTTTCAATTCCCACTCTTTGATTCAACTGCTCATAAAAAGCAACATAAGCTGTTTATAGATGCGAGATTAGATTTGAGCTCCTCTCTGTGCTATTCCTACAGCTCCCATTAGGCAGGATCTGGGCACCTCGTGTCTTTAATGTACTATCCAGTGTTTTAACCTCTTAAAGGACTGTGGTGACGGGGTGAGAAGGGACCCTGCTTGCTCTGGGGTCACGTTTGTCCTTGTCACTGCTGTGGCATTGACTCCTGCAGAGGAACGTGCTGTGGTGGAGAGGAATGAGCAGGGGAGAGGCAGAGACCTTCCTGGACTCACAGAGGAAATCCACAGCAAGACTGGGGGCTCTGGAGCTGCAATATCCCTGCTGGAGCCATGACATCCCTACTATAGCTGTGCTATCCCTGTGAGAGCCATGACATCCCCACTATAGCTGTGCTATCCCTGCTAGAGCCATGACATCCCCACTATAGCTGTGATATCCCTGTGAGAGCCAAGACATCCCTACTATAGCTGTGATATCCCTGCTAGAGCCATGACATCCCTGTGAGAGCCATGACATCCCTACTATAGCTGTGATATCCCTGCTAGAGCCATGATATCCCTGCCCTGGCAAACCAAAAGGCTGCACTCTCACTCCTCTACACAGGGCACAGGCTCTGTATTTAAAACCTCCAGCTCCTGTGCTGACAGCAGTGACACTGAATTAAAACCAAATTGAGACCTGCAAAGAGACAGACAGAAAGAGAGCAGTGGGAAATGACAGGACTACAGGAAAGCATAGTTTTCCACGTGAAAAATCCAGCCCCTGAGGCGGCCTCGGGGCAAGAGCCTGCTGTGCTTCACTTTGGACACCTGCTCTGCCTCTTTAGGATGAAGCAGAGCTGGTTTGTAGCAAAGCAGGTTGGATTGATGCACCTGAACAGGCACAGTATATATGTCTGTACCTCTGAATGCGCCTCCATGCCTCCTCCCCTGGAAAAGCTGCTCCTCTCCTCCTCTGGAAAAGCTGAGGATTCCACAGAGTGAGTGGTTTTATCCCACAGACATTTATAAAAGCTTCTGTGGATGCCAGTGAGTGATCCCACAGGCAGACCTGAGCTGGAGGAGTCTCTGTAAATCCAGATCTCCAAAGACAACAGCAAACACTGACCTTTTACAGTTTGGATGCTTTACAGCATCCAGGGGACTCTGAGGAGAGGCAGAAGGAACCCCCACACTCAGGAGAGCCTGTATCTCCTCAGGCTGTGATAAGACAGACTCTCATACCAAAGAAGGTCTGGATGTCAGGAGTTCTGTGCCCTGTGGAATGGGAGACAGACGGAGCCAGCTTTCATCCCCTGGAGTTATCAGCAGTGCACAAGATCAGGAGGAGGACGATGAACATGAACTGTGCTCCTTGAAAGGCTCCTCAGAGCCCCAGGCCACGTACACACACATCACCATCATCATCATCACCAAAGGCCTCTGGGGAGGTGACACTTCACTGTCCTGTTGCTCACCCCCTCATGTCTGGCAGAATGACTCGGGTCCAGCTGACACTGAGCCAGGTGTCCATCCCAGGGGAAAGCACTGCTCCTGTGCCCCGTCTCATTATTTGTCTCAGGTGGGGGACTGAAGAAAGCTTTGCCTGCTCACACCCTGAAAGCAAACACCTGCAGATTTGCTGCCGATAACAAACACAACTACACCTTTCAGAGACGGAGGGGAAAGAGGCAGGCTGAGCCCTCCCTGCTCCACACACAGATTTTATCCTCACGTAAAGATGCAGCCCCTGCTCGTGTGTGTTCAGCTGCACACCAGGATCCAGCCCTTGGGCAGCTGAGTGCAAGTGCAAAGCACTGGGAAGAGCAGGACGGAGCACAGAGTCCGTGTGTAGGTGTGTGTAAGGGTGGTGTTGTGGCTGATTGTGTTTCAGGAAGCCCACAGAAGAATTTGGAGAAGGAAGGCCTCTGCTACTTGCAGGTGGCTATTGGTAGGTTGGTATTTTTAATAACTTGAGGCTTAGCTGTGCATCTTTATCCCATTCTTTTGGGAAAGCTCTGTGTCCCAGGAGACATGGCATCTTCAAACCAAATTGTAATTGGCAAATCTGTGTGTTTTACTTCTGGATATGAGGGGCTGGAGCGTGTCCAGGGAAGGAAACGGAGCTGGGAAGGGGCTGGAGCAGCAGGAGCAGCTGAGGGAGCTGGGGGGGCTCAGCCTGGAGAAAAGGAGGCTCAGGGGGGACCTTCTGGCTCTGCAACCCCCTGACAGGAGGGGGGAGCCGGGGGGGGGGTCGGGCTCTGCTCCCAGGGAACAAGGGACAGGAGGAGAGGGAACGGCCTCCAGCTGGGACAGGGGAGGGTCAGGTTGGACAGCAGGAGGAATTTCTTCCTGGAAAGGGTGGTCAGGCACTGGCAGGGGCTGCCCAGGGAGTGATGGAGTCCCCATCCCTGGAGGTGTCCAAGGAAGGACCGGACGTGGCACTCAGTGCTCTGGGCTGGGGACAAGGCGGGCATCGGGCACAGGGTGGGCTCAATGATCTCAGAGGTCTTTTCCAACCTGAATGATTCTGTGACATCGTGGCTGAACCTCCCTCAGGACCCGTCAGAACAGGACCTGGGCAGTGCTGGCCCCAGCTGTGGGAACGGGGACAGGGCCGGGCTGCCTCTGGACACGCCAGCGACGGCAGGAGGGAGCCCTGGGACCAGCACCGCGAGGGACGCGGGGTCTCCCCACAGACCCGGGGATCCCAGAGCCCGTTTTGTGGCACAAAGTCCAAGTTTCTCCGTCCCGTGGGCACAAAGAGGCCCGGAGGGACGAGCCCCAGGCCCTGCCGGAGCTTCACCGGCCCCCTCACGCTCGGCCATTTCCGTTACCACTCGGCCATGTCCGCCGCGGCTCGGGCGGCTTCGCCCTGCGTCGGCCAACTTCGTCCAGACTCGGCCATCTCCGGCCCGGCTCGGCCATCTCCGCCACGGCAGCGCTGCCGAGCGCGGCTCTCCCAGCTGTTTTCCGTCGGCGCTCGGCTCTTTCCGCCCCCGCCTTCGGGTATTTCCGGCGAGCCGTTCGGGTGTTTCCGCCGCCGGTTCGGGCGGACTCGGCGCCCGCCGGCCTCGCTCGCTCCGGTAACGGTCGGTGCGGGTTCAAATGAGCCGCGGCCGGGCCGGGCCCCGCCGGGACTCGCTCTGAGCTGGGCCGGCACCGGGGCCGCGACCGGGACCGCCCCCGCTCGGGCTCGGCGACCAGGAGGCGGAGGCCGGGGAGAGCAGGATGACGGTGCTGCAGGAACCCGTCCAGGTACCGACCCCCGGGCGGCTCAGGCCCCAAGGCCCGGCCCGGGTGAGGCCGCCCCGCCCGCGCCGGGGCCGCTCCCGGGGGGCTCCTCGGCCGTGGGCCCGCAGGACCTCCGGCTCCTCCGCCCTCCCTCCCGCCGGGCTTCCCCTTCCAGCCTCCCGGCCCCATCCCCGCGGCCCCGGGACCGGCCGCCCCCGCCCCCGTGTCCCCCCTCGGTCCCCCCGCGGCTCCGCGGCCGGTTTGGCTCCCGGGAAAGGTCCCCACCCTCCGCCGCAGATCCCCCGGGAGACCTGTTGATACCTCGCTCACCTTGCTGCGTTTGCTGCCGTGTCGTTTTTAAATGCTCACGGCGTGCTCGGCTCCTGCGTGTGCGAGTGAAGGACGTTCCTCCCTCCCTTCGGGTTGGTGGGAGACCTGGGAGAGAAAATAATGTAAATTCCGGTTTTCTACCACGTCTCGGTCTCGCTGCATTTGCCCCGATGGGCTTCCTGCTCTTCCCATCCAAAAGACGTGATTCACACATTTGAGAGTTGCTTTTTCTTTCCACAGTTGCTGTATGCCCGTCCTCTAACTCTTCGTGATCTTCATTAATCAGTCATCTTATTCATGTTCCCATTCTTTATTTTATTATTATTTTTAGCTTTTTAACAGGCTCTTTTGGGGTTTTTCTTTTCTAGTTACAGCAAGAGGTTCCTGGCACAGGAGTCCTGGCAGAACACGGTTGTGTTCTGTAATG